CTCTCTCTCTCTCTCTCTCTCTCTCTCTCTCTCTCTCTCTCTCTCTCTCTCTCTCTCTCTCTCTCTCTCTCTCTCTCTCTCCTCTGTGTCTGTACCGCCAAGAAGCAGGATCGTCGGCAGGAGGTGCATGTGGAGAACAACGCCGAAAACATGAAAACCCTTGTAGTTCTTCTTCACTCTCCCGCGATTGTACGTGCGATGAGGTCTTTCCTGCACTCTCACGCGACTGACAGATATTGGCATCCAAGGCAAAAGGATGAAGGGAAGGAGAAGGATGATGTGGAGGAGAAGGATCAGATCAAGCAAAAAAAAAAAGGCAAGGAAAAAGTAGGACCGAAAACATGAAACCCAAAAAAAAAAAAAAAAAAAAAACATGAAACCCTTGTAATCTGCCTAACCCCTGCGCAAGTGTGATGATGGCCTTTCCCGCACGCTCCCTGTAGACTTGGCGATATTGGCATCGAAGGCAGAAAGACGAAGAGGAGGAGAAGGATGATCTGGAGGAGATGAAACGGAGAAGGATGACATGAGGCTCTTTTTTTTTTTTTTTTTTACTTTTTTTGTTGTTAGAGACAAAAGGACATGGAGGAGGAAGCGAAAGACGAAAGAAGAGCGGCCATGGCAATCAAAACAGAAAGAAACATGGACATCAATTAAAGAAAAAGGATGAAGGATATCACCCACCATAGCCTCCTCCTGCCCTGTTTCCCCTCCCAACTTAATCACATCAGCACCCTCATCTTCCTACCCCCCTCTCATCATCATCATCATCATCATCATCATCATTTAATCTCTCCTCCCCCTCCTCTTCATCCACCCTTGTTATCTTCAAATCATCATGGAATTCTCCATTCCCCTCCCTTTCCCGTGCAATCCTGGACGTAGGAGGACATTGACCCCCACGGCTTCCACGTGGAAGTGGACATAAGCAGAGGCTGACGTGGAGGAGGACGAAGCGGAGAGAGGGAATGCTATGAAGGACGACAGGGAAAGAATGGGAGAAAGGCATATTCTGTAGAAGAGACCCCAATTAATCAACAGAGCAAAACGAGGCCACCATAGCCCCCCCGCCTACGCCGCTTCTTCCCGCCCTCAGCAACGTCACATTCCTTCCTTACCCCCCCCTCTCCTCCTCCTCATCACCGTAACTCGCTGATAGGAAAGCAAAGTAGTTCTCCGCCTGGCGTATTGTCGTTTCTCATCCCAACTCTCTCTCTCTCTCTCTCTCTCTCTCTCTCTCTCTGTGTGTGTGTGTGTGTGTGTGTGTGTGTGTGTGAGACAAACCCTAAATCAACAAGACTTGGCATAAGCTGCTCGTCTGGACTAAACCAACTATATTCTTGGGAGAGATCGAAAGAAATGGCACGTGTCCTTCGGGACATCCGTTAAAATACATATTATTTAGTAATCTTTTTCAAATGGCACGCAAACATAGGGATTAATGGGAGTCCGAAACAACGGGAGCTGAAGAAGCCGGAGCTTGGGTCGCCATGGAGGAAGAGAGATGGGTGAAGCAGGTGCAGACGGATGTTGCCACAGGATGTCGAAAGATGGAGAGTCGAGAACAAATGGACGAGCACGACGAGGAGAAGGGATCAGATCCGGGCTTACCTCTTTCGCGCCGAGCTGTTCACCGCTCCTTCGACTCTCTCTCTCTCTCTCTCTCTCTCTCTCTCTCTCTCTCTCTGTGTGTGTGTGTGTGTGTGTGTGTGTATGTGTGTGTGTGTGTGTGTGTGTGCGTGTGTGTGTGTGACAAGCACACCCGCCCGCCCTCGCGCTCTCGCACCCATGCACACACACACACACGACGGCAAACACGCGAGCGCACGTACACACACACCCCCTTAGGAGGGCGACGGCAGAGGGCCGCGACAGGATCTACTCGTATATCAACCTACCAGTACCAGTAGGTCCATCCGGGCCGTTGGCCCATTGGTGCCGGGCCGACAAGCTGGATTGCCACGCGGTCTTCGCTAGACGATCCGAGCCGTCGACCGGGTAGGACGCGACTGCGTAGATTCGATATTGGTTACATTCTTGCACCGATCTGGGCCGTGGCCCGCTCGGACTGCGCACGGCGCCGATTCAGGGATTGCCTGCGGTCGGTCAGTGCAATGATGATGGGCCTCGCTGCACTACTCTAGACATGCACAAAAGACAAAAATCATGGCGGTGTATCTTTCCATAACCTAGCGGAAGATTCGCTCTCGTTTTGCACTTTTCAAGAGTAGTGCAGCGAGGCCCGATATCTCCAGACCATAGCCCTCTCCACCAGTCCACCAGCAGACTGGTGCTCTCAGGGCCTGGTTGCACTACTCGCCATCCGTCACATTTCGTGGCGGATGCGTGGAGAGTGAGGGCCTCGTTCCACTACTCGCCATCTGCCACGGACCGTGGCGAGTCTTGGCGAGGCCGAGAACGTGAAATCCGTGGCGGAAAAAGAAGCATGGTTCCATATGGCCGCCCCCACCACACGAGTTGTGGTAACCATCACGGCCTCAACACTGGACTGTGGCGGACCGGTGGAACGGTGCTGGCTTTTCTCCACATGTACACGGGACCAGGGGCATTGCCACACCACGCTCGAAATGTGCAAAATGGGAATGAACTTACTGCTAGAACATGGCCGGATGCACCCGCTCCTTTTTCACATTTGGAGTGGTGTGGTGAGGCCACAGACATTCACACCACGCACGCCAGCACTACGGGACAAGCCAGGCCTACTGCCTGGGCCACGGTGTCAGGGCAGTTCGTGGAGGGATGACCACTCCGGCCCTCCACCAAAGCCCATTGCAGGCAGGGGTATAGGGAGGCCGTGGCGACCTACCGCCAAGTGCTTTCGGACCGAATTTCTGACATAGACCGTTCTGTGGCAATTGGCGATGCAATGGAACGAAGTCGCATTCGCCAGGTATGGCGGATGGCGAGTAGTGGAACGAGGCCCTGAAAAATATGAGAATCGTGCCGAACTCGAGGCCTGGTTGCACTTACTCGCCACTAGATTTCTTCTACAGAAAAGTTAAAAAAAAATGTCTACCTGATGTCGAGTCGTGATGTGTAGGTCTCTTCCAGATAAAATAGGAAAATGAAAGTTCGTAGATAATGCCAGATAGCTCAGAAGTGAGTCAAGGAAATGGGCAGCAGGCCCGCACACCACCGCACACCACGGGAAAATCGAGGACGGGCGGGTCCGCTTCACCAAATCAGGCGAGGAAAAGGACTCGACCTCTGAAAGACCTGACCCCTTTGTGCGGCATGCACTCAGGTTTGCGTTTGCGATGAACGCCTGTTACTTATACAGTCGGAGGTCAAGGCAGTGGGAGCGGACGGACCAGCGAGGCCGTACTCCAGCCAGGGTGAGTGTCACATCCAACTCAGTAGTACCGTAGATAGTGGATTGAAAGTTGTCCGCTGTTGATCTTAGAAAACTGCATTGTGAGGTGTTCCGGTACCAATTCCCAACTGTAAACTATTAGTGGTTGATGATGTGGGTCGAGGATGTTGGGTTTGTTGGATTTGTCCCGTCAACCTTGCGTGCAACCAGGTGCGGAGTTGCAGGCATAATGTTGTGGTCTCTTCCAAATAAAGTAGGAAAATGAAACTCTGTAGATAATGCCAGATCGCTCTGAAGTGAGTCAAGGAAATGGGTCGCAGGCCCGCACACCTCCTAGAACCGCCCAACTCCCTCCATCGTCCCGCAAGTGACATCGTCGTCTTGCAGGGAATGGTGGAACGAACGAGTGAGCCATGGCGGTTGGAGACAAAAGCGTAGCACTCCAGAGTTCACAGGTGGACATGAAGCTGGTCTTGAGTGGAGCAGCGCCTTGATTCGCGAATATGGGGCTGGTCAGCGATGGAGAGGTGGAATGAAGAAACTTCTTCTTGCGTTAAATGAGTGGTTAAAGCGTAACAGGGTTGGAAGAAATTGTACGGCGTGTGTTGATTTGGATGTGTTGTCCTTCGTCAGCAGCCAATGGCTTGTTGAGGTAGAGAGTCGGTGTCGAACTTCCGATGTTGAAGGTCTCCCGCTTGTATTTTCATCCACTGTAGATGTGGTTGTGAATTGCTTGAGTGCTTGCTTTCAACTGCTCGGGAGAGATGGGGAAGAAGATCCTTGCCAGAGTAGCAGGGTGCGAGCTTTCCGTAAAGCATATTGAGAGTATTCCTTGCAGAGAGGTGTTGTTGAAGGGTTTGCGCGACCCTTGAGATGGGAGAAATTGAAGAAGGTATTAGAGCATATTAGAGGGAAGTTGAAGATATAAAAGGGATACGCGGAGGCTCAGGCTTATTGAGATGGAGGTGCTTTCCTTTATTTATGGGAGAGTTGGCTGCATTGTGGTGAGGGATTGAGATTAAAGTATAAAGAGATTGACATTCGTCAGAGGGTTGTGCGGCCAGGGTATATTAAAACTGATCGTCATGGTGGGAGATTCATGATAAGGTTGCGTGATCCCGAAGTGGAGGAGGAGACCTTCTTGGGTTGGCTTCCAGAGTTGGTGAATAGTTATGATAGGTTGGGGCAGGATGTGAAGAGGGGTCACTTGTTTTGGTCGATGCGTGGTGATGGTCCAGTAAGTGGTGGCGGTTTTAACAAGCGCATAGAGAAGTGGTTTGAGGAGGCGGGAGTTTATGAAGGGGAAAGTGGTCACAACTTCCGGATTGGGGGAGTTCAGGCAGGGATAGAGGAGGGCTGGAGTCTGGAAGAAATGATGCAACAGGGAACATGGAGTATTGTGAGAACGTTTATGAGGTATGGATACGGGATGCGGCGTGGATGGAAGAGGCGGAGTGAGGGGGTTTTAGCTGATGAAGAAAATTGTTGTGAGACCGAGGATTACAAGGTTAGGGGTAGTGTGGTGAACTGTGGGGCTACAGAGGCAGGAGAATGTGGATTCAGGGATGGTGAAGCGGTGGGTGATGTTGAGTGAGAGAGTGCGAGGGTACCAGGTGGTGCGTTTGGAAGAAGGTAATATAAGTAGGTAGGAGGCTGAGTTGGCGAGTGTTTTGGAGAGGGTGTGGTGGAGGAGTGTTGTGGGTGGAAAAATCCAGCGGTAGGGGAGGGATGGTAACAAATTTCAATCCAAAGAGAGAGCGTCTACTTGAAAAACTTTTGTTGACCAGTTTCTGGAGACAAAGTTCAGGCAGACATGGTGATAGTGAGATGCGAAAAGGTCGATTGCTGATACACCTATCTGAAAGAAGATGTCAACCCTTACGTGGCTTGCCAAGCCCCTATCTGTATTATCCTTAATTTTGAATATATAGTCGGTTGTTGTATTCAGCGTTCTAAGTATCCAAACAGGACTGAGGAGGGAATCAGAAAGGAGTAGGATGGAGGCGATGCCTCGTAACCATGGATTGAAGACTTCATCGGTTGATTTCATTGTGAGGAGTAGAGTTGTGGCAGCCTAACTGTCAGAGTGTAGTCTGATTAGGGTTGAGGAAAGAAGGTGTGGTTGAGTAGAAGTAAAAAATCGAGAGGTTTCGAGGATAGCAAAAAGTTCTTTGTGAATGGACGATGAGTTGAGCAACGATTGAGGTAAGCATTGGTTGAATGCCAGTGTGATCTCTTCATTGTGGAGAGGATAAATCAATGCTGCAATTTGGGTTATTGAAGCATCGGTAAAAATGGATAAGGAGACGGGACGGACGGTTCAAAGCCTTCCCGGGAGTTGAGGTAGGTGAGAGATCCACCACGTGAGGTCAGAGATAAGATTATCGAAGATTTTGATAGGGGAATCCCAATTGGAAGGTGAGATGGCTTCATAGAATTGAGGAAAGATCGAGGTGAGTAGGTAAGAAAGCCTTGGAGAGGGAGGCGAGTTTTCCTGCCAGTTTGGCGATTGTTCTACTAGAGGGGTTAGAAGAGGATTGGATAAGGCTGAGGATCTTTTGTATTTTATCTTCGGAAACTCTTATTCTTTTGGAATGAGAGTCTATGGTGAATCTGAGGAAACGAATGGACTGAGATGGGAGGAAGGAGCATTCGTGGGTACTAAGAAAAAAACCAAGTTTGTGGAGCAGGGGCTACGTAGTTAAAAGATTGCCATAGAAGTAGGGGCAGCTCCTTGTTGGCGAGCGCAAAATCATCAATGTGAGATGTGGTGAGAACGTTACGAATATGCAGTTCAACCATGATTTCCTGCATAACGGTTGTGAAGATCCAATAAGCAGAGGAGATTCCGAAGCAGAGTATTGTGAATTGATAGTTTGTTTCATTCCAATGAAAAACCAGATAAGGCATCGAGATGGGATGAACTGTAATGTGGTAATAACCATTCTTAATGCCAAAACAAGTGAGAAAGTCCTGAGTTGGTGAGCCGGACAGGTGAGCAATAGCGCCATCTATTGATTCATAATGAAAAGGAGGGAAGGTAGAGAACAGGTTGACGAAATGGACGTCGCGTATAAAACGGGTTTTAGACGAGCTTTCTATTGCGAAGACAGGGTTGATTACTATGGGGTGGGGTGAGGGTTCAATGAGTTTTGAGGAAAGAAGTTGAGAGGCAGTAGAAGAGATGAAATTGGTATGGTGGGGGGGGTTGATATGGTTAGGTATGATAAGAGGGGAGGGGGTTCAATTTGAGAGTTTGTTTAAAA